AAGACCAGTAAGTAATGTGTTTTTTTGTAAGTTCATTGCTGAAAAGCCCCTTTTAACCGCTGCAGTACTCCCAGACAGAGAAAACATCAATTCCACCAAGCGCAGTATGTTGCTGTATTTCGAGATTAGAGGGTCATTTTAGAAGCGAGGAGCTAGACTCTTGTAAGATAACAAAAATTGAAAATGTATCACGAACATTAACGTGAAAATGGCCGTCCGCGCGGACGCTGGATTCGAGAAATTTGTTGTCCGCGGGGAATTTTTGACCGCCGAGGACGGGCGGACGAGCGATTTTTCGAGCCCTGGTTTGAGCTTATTCTTCCAATTGTAAGTCTTTATTTACTTGAAAATATATTTCCAAACAATCATTAAATGCTTTTATGAAACATTCAGCGACAGTTAATAATGTATATACCACACAAAACAGGGATGAACCACACAGGTTTCCCTCTTTCTTCAAACTTTAACATGACAACCTCTTTCTTCAACATGAGGACTTTCCGCCATGGCAGATTTAAAGTGGCCCTTGCTGAATATTCACACTGGTTGCTTCATTCGCACTAAGGATCGAACCTAGAACTCCCAGCTTTCCATCAGAGTGTGCAATTTCCATTTGTAGTATCCAACAGTTCTTCGCAAAATTCAATCGGCTCCAAGAAGAAGTTTCATTTGAACAGACATTTGAAAGCAAATAGTTTCTTCATAGTAGATTTTCTTGCAGATGAAGATTTATACTGAAATTGAAAAAAGAAAATAAATTAAATTTCACAATGAATAAAATCAAATTTAAAACTATTAAACATTAAATATTTATTTGAAACTTGAATGATTTAATTTGAAAATGTTTTTAAAAAATTTTAATATCCCTTACAATAAAATTCAAGGAATAAATTCCGGTATCGATACCTACGTCAAAAAATCTCGGTAGTGCCACACAAAAAGCAAAACATAAGACAGTGGGAAGGAGGTTAACTAAAAGAGTTTAGTTCATAACACTCCCATGCAAACTATCACATATTTAAAAAAAAAAATTCAAATTGCAAAACCCTTTTATTAGACCTGAAAATAACTACTCACTATGTGGAAAGTCAACAAAAAAAGTGCCGAAAAGTATTAAATAAACAATTGCTTATTTTGAAAATCGTTTAATGTAAAAGTACGTCAGTGCAAAAAAAATACTATGAGAATTCAAAATCATCAATTCTTGGTTGAAAAAATCATGTAGAAGGAGAATTCTTGAACAATTCTCATATTTTAAAGTTGAAATCTATATATTAAATATATTTTGCCCCTCACCCCAAATATTTTTACATAACGTTCTTTAAAAGTCAGAATGAATAACTAAATTTTGTCACACATTTTTTTTTGTTGTTTAATTGAATTTTTATAGTCTCAGATTATTTCTAATAGAAATTTATTTAAAAATTTACAAAACAATAATTATTTATAAAACTAATTATAATAATTATTTAATAAATATTTATTAAACTAAAAAACAATCACAGAAAGGAACAAACTGGAAAGGTATAACTGGCAGCCACCCCCGGGCAAACATCTACCCATTTTTTTTAAAAAAAATTGCGTGTTTAAAATCTATTTTGGCGATTGTTGACGCGACAGATCACGATACGGAATTATCCCCAAGAAATTTAAATAAAAATCTTTATTTCATTGTTTTACTATGCTTTAATCATTCTAGAATGTAATGGTTTTAACTGAGCTAAGAGTAGCAGATTATTAATTTTTTACTTGAACTTGTTTTAACAGTTATTTACAGACAATTATTTTTATCTTTTTCATTGATGAAGAAAAACTTTGTTCCAGACGAATTACAAAGCAAACGTTGTTTTACAAGCATATTCTGAACTAATTTCAGTACTTATTATTTATAGCTAGACAATACGCTTTAACAGAGAAGCCAACTACTACGTGCGAGCAATAATGTCAATAATGATCACCATTCATAATATTAACTGACTTTATTAGATACATGATTTTTAACTAAAGCTAAAACATTACTTCCTTTATGTTTCACGTAACTATCATTGAAATTTATACAGTTTACTAAAAATTACTAAATTATAAATACATTAAGTAGTTGAAAGGAAAGCTGCCAAGCGCAAACAATATGGACCCGTAAAAAATCATGAAGAAGTTAAAAAAGTTTTTTGAGTTCTATCATTCGCGAACAGAATTTACTCCCACTAATATTTCCTTGCTTTTTTTTAAGTAAATTTGAATTGGCTAATAATGAATTAATGATATTTGAAGTAATATTTAATTTATTGGTTTCTATTGTAAATAAGTGTTTAATTCTTAGTAATATGGGATGCCCTTTTATAAAAAAAGTGGCTCTGGACCAAAAGTAATGAAATAGATGATAATTTTAAAAGTTCGAATGTTAGATTGAACACTATTTAATGTTATATAATATTAGTTCTATTATTAGAAGATAGGATTCAGGAGTCTAGCGTTTTCTAGCACGGCATTATTATATTGTTTCTTTCGAATATTAGATAACATTATTTTGCGACCTGCGATACAAATCAAGTAAACATCAAGTAAAACATAACATTTAAAAACTTACCAAAACTTAAATGGCTTTGTGTATATGCAGTCCTATATATAGATGGATAGTTCACTCTATATCAATATGTTTTGCGATCCAGAATCTTGGTTTACATTAAATGTCAGGAAACAATTTACGCAATGTCCTAAATTACATTTGTGATATAAAGCTTTTTTTTGTTGACAGTTTTTAATCTGAGAGCGGTGTTGCTTCTTATTAGGATTTCGCACTGATATATGATCAGTTTGTAATTTCAGTATTAAATGTTTAAGTTTGTTCCTTTAATGTTACGAGATACGCGCAATCCTGGGTAAACTACAGTAATATGTCGACGAAATTCGAAGAGTTCTAGAGTTTGTTCTGGCACAATAAGTTTAGAAAGTTTCGAAATTGCAAACAATGGTGTCTAAATGCATTTATGAATATAATAGAGATGTCCAAGTCAGAGGCTGAACTACATTAGCGTTCCATTATCATCCAATCAATTTCTGATAGCACTATTCCAATAGGACGATTCTTACTCCTATATAAATAAAACGTATTCCTACTGGTTGAATTTGATATGATTGATCACTGATTGATTTCGAGTGGACAGGTAAGTGAAGTGATCCAGTTATACATCTCTATATGTTTTTATAAGATTGTCAAACAGGTCTACTCCATTCTTTTACTTGTAGTAGGGAGCAACACATGATGGTATGCCTACTTTCTTCTTTCTATTCTTCATTTTTCTCTCTATCTTTATTAAGCATCTCATGTCTTCGAGTTTGATTATTATATTAATGATACTACTCTTTCTTCATTCCTACGAACAGATGCAATTTCATTTTAAGTCAAATTTTCGGATGGATGTTCCACAATTGAACTTCCCGTATATTTTAGATGATTCTGAAGTCCATTTCGAAATTCCTTCGAACTTCAATAGTTTCTGTAGTCTTTCTTCGATTTCTTTTTTAAATCAAACGTAGCCGGTGGCAATGACATAGCACGGCCATGTTCAATGCTGGTTCAAACATCATCAATATCTTCATCATAAGTGACTCTGGAGTGGATGACAATATTTCTTCCATCTTTGCTTATAATTTGTAGTGAAAAAAAATTCCACAAGATAACTTAAGGCATGACTTGTTTTTCCATGTAGATTTCTAAGAAAGAAGACGTAATGGAAGCACAGGCACTCATTACTAACCAACACTAGTTGACGACGTAGCTATCACTATGGTTGCCGTAACTTCAATATTTTATATTCTTCTTATCCAATCTTCTTAAGTAGGCCCAGCCGTAGCTTCAATGAAATTTTAATATTTTATATTCTTCTTGTCCAATTTTCTTAAGTAAGCCAAATTCTTAAAATTTTAACCAATCATACCTGCCAACTTTTACGATTTTTGCGAACGATATTTTCTAATGGTAGCTAATTTACGCCCGGGTGGCTGAGCGGTAGCGCTTCGCGCTGTCGTGCCACAGGTCCCTGGTTCGATCCTCAGGCCGGACAAGGTTGACTCAGCCTTTCATCCCTTCAGTNAAGTACCAAAAAGAGAAGCTTCGTCAGAAGTGATCAGCAAATCTGGGCCTAACTGTATGAGTCATCGTTTTCCGTCCTTCGGCTTTCTTCAATCTAGGAGGTATTGGATGGGCACAGTGACCCTTGGTCCTCTAGGGCTGTCGCGCCGCTGAGTTTAGTTTAGCTAATTTTACGCTTTAATTTATTATAATGGTTTTGAAAAATTTAATTTAAAATTACTTTAATCATCTCCAAATAAAAATTTTGAAAAACATTTGTAAGAACTATGAAAATTAATCACTGCATGTGTTAAAATTTTTCAATAACTTTGACTCTTTTACTCCGCTTTTCAACTACCATTATGAAGTATCTTTAGCAAGAAATGTAAAAATTGGTGGCGATGCCATGCAAGTTTCGTTAAAATTTATGAAAATGAAGTTTTATTCACTTCGCCCGCCGTTTTACAAAGACGATACTGTTGTTTTAGAATATGATAATTACGCTTGGGGAAATTCTGAGAAAAATTTGAACAGGAAGTAGGCGTTACTTGTAATGGTACCTGAATGTCGATTTTTATTATTATTATTTTTTAAATCTAAAGGCAGTGCTTTTGTTACATCAGTATCTTGTAAACCTGAACTTAGTGTAAAAACTATCTTACAATGTAATTTTATCCTATGCTTTGAAAAAAAAATGTTTCATGTTACTTAAAATTTAAACTCTCTATCTGTATCGAAGCACGATATAAGTAACTAATGCTTTTAAAAGGCTAGGTATGCTTTTTATATTGTTTACATACAACAAAGACTACAATAATTTAATTTAATTGATAATTTAATTAAAAAATATTTATTAGTTTCTTTTTTACCATAAATCACGCATAAAAAGCAGTAATTCCACTGAAACTAAACATGAAATAAAAAACAATAAGATTGTATATTTATATTTTATTTTTACATTTAATTAAAATATTCCTTCAGTGTGAGATCATTAATTATTTCAATATTATTGAAAAAACTTCTTCCATTAGTTACATCTTTATCTTTAAATAGATATTCTTCCCATCTTTTCTCGATGTAATAAATCTCGAGGCCTTTCTCTTTGGTAGACAATAGATAATCACGTCTATTGTAAACATTAATATCCAGTCTGTCCTTTTCATCCAATATCTGGTTATAATGGATGAGTTTGGTCGCGCATCCAGCAGGAATAATACTCACAAATGACCTAGTTGTAATAAGAACCTGAATAACGCCTGTTTTGAAATCTTCCAATACTTTTCTTCTTTGAGTTATTGAAAGATCACCAATCAATAAAACACTAAATATGTTATTTTTGTGCAAAAATGAGCCTAATTCACTAGCGACTAGCTTAGTTTCAGTGAAAACAACAACCTTTCCGCGAAAAGTCTGAATATTAATAAGAAAAGCCAAAGACTCTATTTTTTCCTTCTCATCAGCACAAACGATGTAAAGTTGCTTTGTTGGAAATGGTCTATAAATAGTATCGGTTACAGATATCTCAATGGGAGAAATCATATGCTTCGCCATAAATTCCTCAATGGCTTTGGTCTTAGCCGTGGAACAAATGATGGAACGACACTTTGGCGATAGGCGTTGAAATATCAGAGAAATGTCACAGAAGAATTTTTTGGGATTACCCAAGCAATCAGCTTCGTCAATAAATAAAAATGAAGCTTTTTTCAGTTCTAGAAGAGATGCACGCGAAAGCTCTAAAATTTTATCGGGAGTACCGATTACGATTTCTTTGGGAGGTTTCTCGTTTTTGTTCGGTCGCTTGTCTTTGGTCGTGAAATTCAAGGATACGTCGCAATACTTTCCTAAAATCTGAAGACATGAATAGGAAATTTCAGCGATTTCGTATGTAGGACAGACGATGATGGCTAATGAATATTTAGACGTAGCTCTTGAGAAATTATCCAGAATGCCAATAACTGCGCTGCTGGTTTTGCCTGTTCGGGGTGGTGCGTTAATCACAAGATCATGGAAAGTGAGATTTGTGAAATGGGGCAAGACTTGCAACTGCACTTTTTTTGGTTTCGATAGTCCACAAGATTTAAATCCTTTCATAACGTTATTATGCAGTTTGATAGGCTGGGATGAAATTGAAGTTGTTTCTATAACATGATTTCTCCGAGGTTCTTCATCTTCCATGTCCCAAACACTTTTAGAAGACATATCTATAAAATAAAAAAAAATTAACGTAAGTAATCAAATTGGCTATTTTTCAAATATAAAAATTTCTTAAGCATTAAAAATATGATTGATTAAAGTAGTTACATAATATAAAATATTCTAACTGTCTTAGTATTATTAGACACAATTTGTATGCTTAAACAAGTTAACTTTAACGGGATTAACCCAGGAAATAACAAATCGAAACCTAATTGTAGAAATTAAATTTGCATCTAACACCAGTCATCGTTAAATACAGCGCTTATAGCGGATAATAGGAGAAGGAAAACAAAGAGAAATAAATTTTCACGAAGGAAAAGCATATGAAACCGATACGGATTTTCTCCAACAAGCTTTTTCAGAAAAAAAAACACACGTAAACATTTAAATAAGTATATTTTGCTTTGCGGATTGCAAAAAGGCACCACCGGCCTTATGTGATTTTCGTGCAGCTAGACGGAAACTATAATATTATTCATTATGCATAACTAAACTACTTTAGAGAGCACAAATTAACATAAAAGTACAAATATAAACTATCAACACATGAGCATAAATCGTTAGCTGCTTTATTGATAAACTCCGTTCATATCATTGCCAGATTCACCAAGCTTAGAATTAACTATTAAATACATGAGATAACGATTACGATATTAGAGAAACAACTGGTCTAGGACCAGCCAACTTTCGTACTTGATGAAAAGTAGGAAAACGAAAGAAGCTAATAACGAAAAGGGCACTAACATAACTTAGAGAGAAATTTAGTGAATAATTTGATCGTTATACATTTTCCAAAATTTCCAACATTGATGTTTCTTAAGGCTAAGCAAGAGTCATTTTCCAGTATACACTTGCCCACTACTTTTTAAATTGATGTATTTTAAAGATTAAGAACCATTTTTGAAATGTACTATCCCGATTTTCCCTACACTAATGTTTTTCTTAATCTATTTGTACTACCCATGGAAGTATTGTTGTAATTTAATGATAATTAAGAAATATTCCGCTGGTGGCGCTGATGAATGTTTGCGCGTCACCAGACGCCTGAATTCTTGTTACATCTTCTACCCTTTCTTCTTAGTGTTTCGTCTATATTATGTATTAATAAAAATATATTTCCAAAGAACCGGTTCAAGGTAAGTCAAATCATTTCACACTTAAAATTAGTTCATATAGAAATGACATTAGTAAAGTAATATATTAAACAAGTATTGCATTTACATTAACTCTCTAGAGCAATACGACTGGGCGGAACCAGATGCCGAAATCAGAAAGCAGATTCTAAAAAATATGCCACAATTTCCCGATGATATCAAACTTATGAAGGTCAACAACAGCATTCGGGACAGCAGTGTTCAAAATAGTCATTTTCTTTTTCAAACGCAATGAACAATTGTATAAACATCTAGGCAGATTATATTTAAATTCGCTTAAAGAAATTGTATGGATATAATTTTCTAATTTAATAACGATTTGCGTGACATAAAATAAATGCGTATCTAAAAAATGGTAAATTATACGTTTAATCAAACTGAAATTAAAACGGTATGGAAGCATGCAAAAAACAAACGATATTTGATTCATTCCTTCATAAACCACGGCAACTACGTCGAATACATTATTTTTGATGATATACAAAGCGGACAGAAGTGCACAGGTAAAGTAGTGACCAAATTTCTAGAAGGTGAAGTTTATCACTGGCCTCGACTTAAGCACAGTAGCTTAGCACCTCTTTTAGATATTATTTATATTGATGAAAGACTTGGTATGTATATGACCACTCATCTGACACACAACCTCAGAGACACGATTCACGATAACAGTTTTGTCAATGATCCCTTGAACTTTGACAGAAAGAAAGCATATATTGCAGATATACTATGGGGAGTGGATTATATACATTCAAAAAACTTGAGTCTAATGAATATTAGTGATGCCAATGTTTTTGTAGATCCGGAATCAGATAAAGCTGTTATCGCCAATTTTACTTGCCTGGTTACAGTGCAAAATGCAACAAAGCATAAGAAGTGTGCACCGTATATGTACAGAGCTCCAGAAGTAACTATAGCAACGCCTTTTGCCAAAAAGAACGAGTTTGATGCCATTTCTGCCAATTTATGGTCTGTGGGGGTAATGACTATGGAAATCTTTATGAATCACACAACGCCCTGGGGATTAGTTGATTATGAGCCAAGTCGTGCGTTAGAAATAGCGACTAAAATTGACTGTGATATGCTAAAAATCGCCAATAAAGGATCATCTATAAGCAATCAAGATCTGGAAGACTTAAAAAGTTTTTTGGCTTTGTTTTTAAACATTAATCCTAAAAACAGAACCCCAGCCAACAAGGCTGTTTTAAGAGACTTTATCCAAATTGGAAAATATCGAGTTCGGGAGAAAACAGATAACTTTCCAATTCAGTCTAAGAGAAAACTACGAATAGCATATGACTCTGATAAAACGGATTTTAGTTTCAATAAATCTGAAGAATCCTCAATGATCGAAGTTAACAGAGCGAGCCATCGGTCTACGCATGTTCCTGAAGTTGATATTAAGAGTCACGATAACTTAAAAGAACCTTCTATAACTAATATAAATAACTCTCGTTCAAAATTAAAGAATTCATTTCAAAAATTTGATCATTCTAATAAGATGACAGGTGAAAGAATTTCTTCTAAAACTGATCCCATAACTGAGAGATCAAATCTAACACACGATACTCATATCGCCATAAATACGCCAAAACGCCAAATTGCAAGACTGAATGAAATCCAGGAAGCGGCAACAAGTTTGAGTTTAAAGTTATGTAAATATTATAAAGAATTGGAGAATGTCGATAGAAATAATTTTGCCGTTAATAAATCCAAATTGAAGAAAGTTGGATCACGTCTCAGGCATGACAATTCCACAGACGATTTGATGACAAAAAGATCAAGCAGTATTACTCAAGCAAATTACGCTCCTTCAAACAATGAGGAGCAGAAAAACAGAGAATATTCCAGCGATAATACGACGAAATCCAGAGACAGCTATCGTGGCTCTGTGTGTATTAGCAAAAGATTTTCAGAGCCGAGATGGAAATCTAGAGCCATTGTTTCGCCAAAAAGAAATTGTAAGATATTTTATGCAAGTTCTCCGGCGTTACAAAATTTGGCATTTCCATTGAAGACATCCGATTTACAAGAAAGTGCAAAACAAACAGAAACCACACGTACTGAAACTTTTGTTTCATGGGAAGATAAACACACACTTAGTTCTGAAAAGACACACAACTCCGAATGTGTGATTAAGAATGCTAGTGTCAAACCGGAAGAAACACCAACAGAAAACATGCATGTTAGCAAACTGATGTTTAATCCATCTGTTGGAGACAAGGAAAAAAATCCAAACATCACAAGCAAGTCTCAAATATATAACAATACTTGGAACATAGAAGCGTGGACAGATGAAACTAAAAACCGGAAGCCAATCAAGTGTTCCAGTCAAGGTTTGATTAACGACAAAGAAAATCAAAAGCTGCGAAGTATAGAAAGAAAAATAATTTTTTTGCCAGAAAACAGTAGTGACCTAGCTTTGGATGATCTAGACTGGTTACCAAATGAGCAAGGTTTGTATGAGACAGACGAGGAATCATTTGGTTTGAATCGTTTATTTAATTCATACGGATCAAATACGTCTTTAAACTTTAATTATGTCACTCCGGAAGATTTTCCTAGAATTTATAATTTTCAACCTCGTCAAATGAAAGTAGCAAAACGAAGGCTTGGTGGTTCACGTCGCAGTCAAAAGGAGGGTAATAACAAAAGCATAATAAAAGGCAATGAAACACAATTTTATAAACCAGCAAACGATGCCAATAATGATAATATCAATACCAGGCAAAAATGCCAAACTGAAATGAAATATAAGCACACAGAAAATGTTAAAAAGAAAGATTATTCCATCACCAAGCAAAATTGTGAAAAGGAGAAACAATTTAAGCAAATAGCAAATATTTCCCCAAAAGATAATATCAATACTAAGTCGAAGTTCAACAATGATCCGCTATTTAAGGAAATAGTGAATGTTGGCATAAAAGATAAACTAAGCAACAAGCAAAAATGCGAAGTTTCAAAAGCTTTATTAAATGCCCAAGGTAACAAGATTGTTGGTGATATTCAAGAATCAGCTGACCAAAGGTGTAGATCAATGGTCACAGTTTCAACAGTACAGTCGCATCAACAAACCAATAAAAAGGTACCTAAGGACGGTGCCAAGAAAAAGAAAGAAAAGGGGAAAACATGGTCTTGCCACTTATGTTCATGTTCATGTTTATTAAAGTTTAATTAGGCGAAAACAATAATAAAAGATATTTCACGCATGGAGTGTTTTCTTTTTTAATATTAATGAATTTTTAATTTATCACTGGAGTTAAGCAGGTTATCACACTCGGGTTTGCGACTACAAATGTTTAACAGAGTAGTCTCGTAATTTTTTGCCCTACCCCCCAAAAAAAAGAACTTCTGGATCACGCTTTGGGATAAACTCGCTTTGTGAAAGATTTTTTTCTAGCGAATTACCAGTCTTTTTATTAACTGAAAGAAAAACGGCGAAAACCGCATATGATTTGCTGAATGATGGGAGTATTTTACATTCGTACTTTGGCTTAATTAAGCCGTGCACTGTAATACTAATTTATCCTTCATTACCAGGATTGTGTTTGCTTCATTGGAAAGAAAGCGTTCCCCGAACACATCTGGTTTTTACCATTTTGGATTTGGCAGTTTGTTAAACTTTTCAAAACGGTAAAAATAAGCTTCTCGTAATAGCTCGTAGTGAGCCAGGGTGGTCATTGATGTAAAGGTTCTATAATTTTATAATCAACGGTATAATAGTGACAATGTTGTCAGCAATGCGTACAAACCACCATTGCTTCCCAGACAAGCTTGGAACCCATCAATTTTAAGTTTTGTGAGCTTCGAACAGTCAACAGGGGCATGAAAACGGTAATAGTGTAAATGAAGAA